TGTGATAATAGATTATTTTATCAAAATGGTATATTTTGTGCTATATAAAAAATCTATTATAGATTAGAAAAAAAAAAAAAAAAAAAAAAAAAAAAAAACAGCTAAGATTTTTTTTGAAAATATCTATCACTATCATAGATTATTCAAAGATATTATATTATATAGGAAAATTTAATTTATATCAAGATTTTAAAAAATCCTTTTTAAGATTCTAAAGATAGATATAAAATTATCTTTTATCTTTCATTGTCCAATTGATGGATAAGAAAAATATGTTAATCAAATTTTGGAGAAGTACTAAAGATGTACCATCAACTACTAACAAGATGATCAGACAACTCTTTTGTCATTGATATAATTTACTATTTATAATAAGATGTCATATTATATGAAACTTTGCTTGAAAATACATCAAGCACCTAGCTATAGAAGGTAAAAAGAATATTACAATAAGCTTTTAATTCTAACAGAATCCTAAATAACTCCAATTAAACTTTAGTAATGCTAATCAAGCTTTAATCAAATCCAAAGAAACCTCAAAAAAATTACAAAAAAAGTATGAAGAAATCCTAAAAAAATTCAAAAGAAGTATTAGAATAAAATCTAAAATATATATTAAATAAATTCCAACCAAATATTAATTTAGTTCTAGTTAAAATCCTAACAGTCCTTATTTTAATCCTAAGTTAAATCCTAAATAAATCCTAAAAAAACCCTAAATCCTAACCAATTTCTAAATCTTAAACCAAATCCTAATCAAATTAATCTAATCTTAGGGCAGTTTAGAACCTCAATATCTATCAATTATACCATTGATCTTACTTAAGATTTTATACACCTTTCAAAAAATAAATTGGCAATAAGCACATAAAATTTGAAGAAGATCAAACTTATCAAATAGAAGATCAATCCTTAATTCCGCTTAGGTATTGGTTGTTCTCCTACTCCAATCTAAATATTGAACTTCTAGTGCCAATATCTCCTTTTTGAATCATTGAATTACCTCTAAAATATACTTAAACTATGGAAAATCAAGTTTGGTCTCCATAATAAAAAAAAAATCACTTCAATCTTATTAATAAATTGCTAAATATCTTAAAAATACTCATTGATCCTTAAATTCTAATTTCTAAGACCTCAACCCACAAAATCCTTCACATACTTCAATCTAACTATTTGATTGATTTTAAAATCTTCATACATACTAATAACTAAAATACCAACATATTTCCCAAAATTTACTTATATATATACCACAAAACTCAAAAAACCATCAATTTTATAAACATAATTTTATTTTTCAAAATCTAATCCAACCAAAAACATCACTAACTTTGAAAACCTTCCAAAAACTAAATATTAACTTGATTGACATAAAACCAATACTCAAAAATCTTTTTATCAATCTATTCTCAAATTCCACTCTTTGAACTTCCAAAGAACTCTAAAGTCGCTGTAGGTATGCAATTTTGTGACTTAAGGTTTGATTATGTTCCAAGTTGACAACTAATCCTCTTTGGATATCAATATTTGGTAATTTGAGTTAATTTTTGCTTAAACCTATTATTAACTTCTTTTTAAATATATTTTTATTAATTATTTATCTTGTTTATTTTAATTTGAAGTATTTATGTCTTTAGAAATCAAATAGAAGTCTCTTTTTTAAAAAACAGTATTAAAACTAAACTTTTTATTACCTTCTTATCATTTATTCTTATTTTTCTATCATGTCTTTCTACTAGGCTCTATTATAACAACATCCATGTTTTTATTTTTTACCACATAATCATGTTACTATACAAAAATGGTACAATCTTCTACTCACCAAACATCTTTTTTTGCTAATTATGGTTATTATCTATAATTTAATGTTTTTGACTTTTCAAGTCTTCATAATTGTGTAGCAAAAGATTTAGCAAATCGTTTGTCAGAACTACATGCAATAATGAAGGCTCAATTAAAAGAAGCTCAAAAATGATAAAAAATAAACATAGATGCCTATTACAAGAAATAATCACAATTCAATATAGATGACAAGATATAATTATTTTATCATAATATTAAGACTATTGGCTCTTGTGACAAGTTGGACTATCATAAGCTTAGACCTTTTTTATTTGTCAACAAATCAATCTAGTTGCTTATTGATTTTATCTACTAGAGATATTAAAGATCCATCTTATATTTCACATAACTCTTCTTAAATCATATAAATCAATGAACTTACTAAGAAAAAAATAAGTACCACCTCTTCTTATAAAAATGTACAATAATAAAAAAAAATTAAGATAGAAGAAGTCGTAGAATGAAAATGGCACTGAAATAGATTGAAATATCTTATTTATTGGTATTGATATGATATTAATAAACATATATAGGAGCTAATAAAGAATCTTAAAAATGGACAAAAAAAATGAAAGCTTTTTACCAATGACAACCATCAAAATCTAGACAAAGAATGGCAAATCTTTCCTATAAAAGAAATGAGATCAAGAAAAGATAATAATCTATTTTCTATTTTTATTTATAGCTTCTATATATATTGTGGCATTGAGGAGATGGAGAATCAACAACCATTGGAATCAAGTCAAGAACTATCATTTGTTGACTTGTTGAATGAAACATTGCAATTGTCTCAACCTTCAAGATGACATAATTGAAATAAAGATCCTCAAGAACATGTTTTTTCTCAAATAGATGGTGTGAGTGTAAAATTCACTCTTCAATTCAATTACAAGATGGTCTCAATTAAGAGTTGTTTGTAATGGGTGGTATGAAGTGGAAGTAGCAAGAACAAGAACAAAGGAAGAAAAATACAAAACAAGTGGAATAAGTGCAATCAAGCAATTGTACACTATAAAACTAGTCATAGTTTGTTCAATGAGTTTTTACCTAGTAAAAAGTAAAAAATAAAATTAAAAATATATTTTAAAAATTTAATTTTTTTTATCTTTCCAATGATATAAGAAATATATAAATCCGAGTTACTATGAATAAGTTTTAAAGGTTTGAAAAATAACAAGTAAATAAATGAAAAGTTAAGTAAATAATTTTTACTTCAAGGGTATCTTGCTTAAGAGATTAGGAGTTCTAACGTCACCAAGAAATAATTGTAATTTTGGCATTCTACATAGATTCTTTTGTTTTAAAACAATTAATGAGTCAATTTGATGACTCACACATGACAACCATCTGAATGACTTACAAAGGAGAAGAACCTAGAGACATTGGGGCTAGTTACTTTCGGGCATAGTATCTCCAGGTGGAGAGGGAAAGTGGCTATGTTGCTTCAACGCCACAAACTACACCTTCCGACAGTGGTCTAGAAAATCCCATGTTGACTGCTGAACCTACACCAGTTTGTGGCACTTATCATCATGTTCAAGTAGTGCAAATCAGACGCGGCCCTAAACGGAAAGAGGTTCTTGTGTTCTACGGAAGGATTGCCACCTTGACGTGGGACCCAAGTAGGTTTCAATGGGGGTCTCCGACTGGGGGCCATTCCTCTCATGTTGTACTCAGCCAAGTTAGGCAGAAATCTCCTTCGGAACAGCCACGAGATCCCCAATCCTGAAGTAAGGAAGTGGTCGGGCGTTCTCTTGGGTGAGTACCGCTTGCGCTGGAACACCGTGTGGGTGAAAGCCAGAATCTACAAGTAGGCCTTCTGTGGCTGCTCTGGCACTACGCCATTGCAGTGAATATGTGGAGGGGTCGTATAAACCACACCCTTGCCATCCAATGCTCAGTGTGTCCGCGAAGAGTCGATGAATCGGTTCTTCATCGCTTATGGAAATGCCCCTCCGCCCAACGAGCGTGGCAGTGGGCGCATCCATCTGTTAAATCAACTTGTGCACGGGACGAACGCGAATGGGCCATGGCAGCCCCTTTCATGGAGGCATGGTCTATTTTCAAACAACATCCCGCGCAAGTTTAAACACTTTAGCCCAATTTGGTCCCAGATCTGAACCATAATCCTCTGGACTGTGGCAGGAGCACAACGATGTCTTCAACGACATTACGTGGTCTCCGATCAAATTGCTTCAATCTGTATGGTTAGGTATTGTAGATTACAGACGTCTAGAATGGTCTAAGGTATCCCATATAAGAAAAGATCGTGAGGCCTACGGTGCCAAGCTTGCCCAACGTTTTGAAAACAGGTGGTGCTGCCAAGACTTGTTCTCAGCGATGGCTAATGGATACCCGCATTGGGTCCTCTCTGGTCCCATCGCAAGTTTTGTATTCCAACCTCCTTGGAAATTTCAGGTCCACCCCCACAATTGACCCAATAGCGCGTTTGAGGCATAAGCCCATAACCGCGCCTTCCAAAGTCAATCTGGTCATAAGGTGGGTTTGGAAGCTTTTTACAGTCCGTCAAGAGTCCTAGAAAAGGTAGCTGTAGGCAATGTTTTCATCCAGACCTCATGCGGCTGGGTTGGTTGTAATTCTAACTCCGTGGCAATGAAGATTCACTTCGTTTGTTTCAAAAAAGACAAGTTTGGAAGCTTCGTTTGACCTCACCCAAGCACACACTTCTCTTCAATAGATACCAGTTGGATTTGTTTCTCCAGTTCTCTCAGCCACTTTGAATCACTGTCTACTCATTATATTCCCACATGCCAAAAGCCAACCAACACCTATCAAGAGGCAAGTCAGTTGATTGAGTGCCATTCAACAATTTAGCTTTACATCTAGATATTGTCACAGACTTCATTAGGGAATTGGTGGCTAGAATGCCAAGAATTTTTGTGTTTGAAGAGATATAAATCTGCAGGTGGCCAAATGAAGAGTGAGACGACGTCAGGAAGTGGAACCTAGACTCATTTTGCAAGGATTTCTCAACGTTGTGTGAATCTCCAGAGTCAAGAGTTTCGCAAACTAGCAAGCACAAGGCGGGGAAATGCGTGAGCTGTGCAAAAAATAAACACACAAGAAGGGATGGATGGATGGATGGATGGATAGATAAGCATGGTACAAAGCTGTTCTAGCATTGAAGACTAATATAAATGAAGTGCAAATCACTTCGCAAGAGTGACCATGATAGTTACAAATCTTACATTAATTGCAATGTCGGGCTTCACAGTGGGTTACCATCAGGTATAGTACATTCAAGGATCAGTCAACAGCTCAACTTGAGTACGCCTTCATTCTATACTTTTTTGTAGTCAAATTATCCACATACAATTTGCCAGACTCTGATCGCCATTCTACAGGTGCTCAAATGCCCTCTGATTGTCGGCAGTTCCTGAATCCTATGTAATCATCTGGTTCTGCTTAAACCATGTGTTCAAAGTCGCACCTTTGGTGTACCCAGCGGAGTATGTATAGAAGTTTGTCACCGCTTTCCAAGCAGCCTCAGTGGGATGTATACTATCAAAAATCACGTGCTTCTGCGGGTTGTTGCACACCGTGTAGCCATCGCCGCCACCGCAGGAGCCCGTGCAACATCGTTTGTATGCATCGGAGAATCCATATGCGGGTCCATTCTCGAACAAGCGACGCAGCGCCTTGGTCAGATCCAGCATCATAATGTTGGCCCCTCCTTTGTTGAGCTCGTTAACTTTGGCCTGAAGCCTCGCATCGTGCAAGTTTGTTTCCGTGTCGAGCAGGTCGTTCATCACGCAGCCCGTCTCGCCATTGATCCACAGAGTTGTGAAGGGCATGCACGACATGGGCACCAAATTCTCCACCATGATGCTTCGCACTCCTAGTTTAGAAATGCGGTTCATTTGGTCTCCCATCTTGCCAACCACCGTATCGACGAACGCGCTCACACCCTGCAAGCTCAATTAGTGTTGCGTACAAATTTCGAAACATAGCAAATTTCCTGTCGACGTTTGTCAATATTTGATTCTCCTTAATGACAAGAATGTTCGAAAGAATGCAAAATCATACCTGGACCCCATTTCCTTGCTTATTGTAGTAGGTGTAGTCGTTCACTCCAATAGAAACCAGCGCCACTGATTGCGCCAGGTGTGCCGCTGTCCAAGTTCCTCCCTTCACAAGCCCTTCAAATTCATCGACTTGCTTGTCCAGAGGCTTCCACCCGTAAGCATACGTGACTGCAGCGCCCCCCACACCGAAATTCGCACCGCCGTTGTTTTGGTATCCGTTACCGGGCAAATCCTCCCACGGTGTCGGGGATGGCACTCCGAGCTTCGCCGCTGCAGCAGAAGCAACAAAACCATGAGATTTATCATCACTCGATTAATTCCAATTTTCTTAAGCGCGAGCAGCAGCAATTTGCTATACGAGCAGATTGATAGAAGGTCACTCAAACTCATATCTACAAATAAATCATGTCGAATGGCGGATTGATCACCGGGTGCGCACCAATGAAGTCGACTTCGTTGCGCCCGTCTGATGAACGGCGGGCTGTGCCATCTCCTGGCCATGTCATCCCATATGGATAATACAAGTTCTCTCCAGTGTCTGCCAACATTCACAAACAAAATTCTTAGTCATGTTAGCTTGATGGAACTATGTAATGTATCTTTCGGTTAGATTACTTCAAAGCAACATGAATAGGAATCATCCCTGACGCTGTAAATGAAGATAGAGGTCAGAGTTTGAGACTAAAGGGTGAGGCACCTGTATAGCTGTCTCCGAAAACGAATAGACCTTGGGCACCGTCAGTGCATCCTGCATAGAAAAACCAATGTAATCATAGAAGTGAGTCCTTTAGACAAAGTCTAGAAGTGAATTCTTTGACTATAGTGAACGATCTTGATGTGGGGAGTTATGGTGGGAAGACAGTGAAATTGGATACGTGAGAAATTGGAAGAGACATGAAGGAGAAAAAATTTATCAATTGGACACGAACCATAGAATCGTTCACAGAATTGCCAGGATTGGATCAGAGGGTTTTAAATCGCGTACCGAAGTGCGTTGATAGCAACGAACACACAGCCAAGAAAACAGTCAACACTGCAGCAGGTCTGTTCCCAGAGTTTTTGCGCTTCGTGGGATGAGCCGCCATTCTAGACAATGCGGTGAAATGATATTGCCAAGTTTCTGAACGCTCAAGTTGGACTGAGCCCTGATCGGAAAATGAGGAGTGAATGACGGTCTGGCCTTCGGTTGCAATATATACTGGAGCGTATATGAACGAAGTGTGCTGGTCAGATTTCAAATTTGGCAAAACAGATGGTTCTTGGAAGGAATATAGTGATGTGATTGTAATCATTTGAACAATGTCTTCAGCTTCAGTGTAGAGTCTACTTTGAGTGAAGTGGACCAAAATCAGTTCACTTGTTGTCGCACATGGTAGTTGGATTGGGTTGAGGATCAGTGCCATGTGGGGCCGTCATTGACCTTGGTTTCGTCCCTCATTGCTAAAAGATGAGCTGTGAAGTCGACAAGGATCTCTAGCAAGCAAAGATACTCGATATAATCAGGTGAACGTAAACTCAAGTGAACGAGGTTGGTAACACTACTAAACTTTCAGCCGCATCCAAAATCCATGGATGCTGCGCCATCAGTTATGCCCCTTAACTAATTTGCAGCAATGAGGTATATGCGAAGTAATGTACTCCAGAGTACGATCTCCAGTTACTCAGGCGCTTGAAGTTTCAGTCTCACGAATAATTTCATGGGTGACTAAATTTCACCGTCGAAAACATCAGGAAGTTGCACCTGGTTTCTCGAGTTCTCAGGTACTTTCTCTCTGCCCTATTCATTTCGAATGATTTCGTTCCAAGGAGAATTTTTGAACCTTGGAACACTGTAGAGAAGGACCAAGTGCGTAGTTCACGGAGCCGTTGAATTATCAAAATTTGTTTGGTGACAAGCTGCGCAGTTCTCAGAAGCACATTCGACTTCATGGATGTATGCATGATCTACACGAGTGAAAATTAGAATCTTCTGGTGCCACACACTGCAAGCTAGTGGGCTTGAATAAGTCGTGGCGCTCGAGGTGCAAGCCACCAAACAACAGTGGCAGCTGGTGAAATAATGTACTATCGTGAGGACATAGGCCACAGTTCTTTCTAAAGAGGGCCCGGGTTGATTGGGAATACAAGATTATTGTCACTCTCAGCCTTTGCTTGATATGACACCTAGCTGGTAAGATATCCGCACCGTCAACGAAACACACAAACGATTTCAACACTTATCGTTTCAACTGCCTTGGCCATGTCCTTCTCTTTGACTTGGTTTGGAACCTCACTTGTCGACTACAAGCAAGTGCCCTGAATTCAAACTTAGCATCTGGGGTATGTAGCAAAACATGATAATTGTAAGCGCGATGGTGCTGAAATGTAGTTAAATGGAGGAGTCAAGAGCTGTTAGTTATTCAACAGATTCTACTATACCATAGACATTACGCCGTTACACCGCTGCTGTTTGTATGACAACGTGTAAACGACATTAGATTCCTGCGAAACGAACTTACCGTGAAGATTGTCATGAGGATTGCTCAATAGTGGAAGAGCAAAGGTCGAATATGTTCTGATATTAATTGTCGTGGCCCCGCGAGCTTGGAGCTTTGAATCCAGGGGATGAGCCATCAAGCTAGGAATCGATTCCGTGTGTCAGTGATGACGCACCCTTCCATTGACCTCCAACGTGAATCATTGTTTTACAGTTACATTTTCTAGTGAGGTTGGGAGGAAGGACGATGCAAAGTTCTAACGCCTTTGACTTCGGATTCCAATTCTATGTTATTAAACCCAGAAATCTGCTCATGAATGAGTAAAAGAACCACCACAGTGATTTGCGTGCGGCACTGGCAGAGGTTGGCGAGCCTAACACCATAAATGTGATACTCGGCAATGAAAACTTAAAGCCACCTTGCGTACGCACAACAACAGCGTAGATTCAGCCCTGACAGCTTTACGATTAAGGATTTGTGATCGTCTTCCTGGTTGCATGCATCTGACGCACGCCATCCAGACTTTTCTCATGTATTGTTAGCGAGCTGGGGGGAATTTGCAACCGGCCCCGTGTATAGCCTTTACACATACACAGCGGGACGATCTCAATAATTTGAATCATTTGTCTCGTCATGGAAACTGTGCCTAACCACTCGCAGCAGATTGCTCACTTTTTTTCCCCTATTTCTTCCTTTTTGAAGGACCGAAAGGAGTGAACGCTGGGAAGTGACATCGTCCACGTCAAATCCATCCATAATACATAACCCAAACGAGGACTCATTCGTCTCACCTTCCGGACATAGCTAGAAAGCTCGTGTTTCAGTGAAAGACAAAGCAGAAGACATTCAACTGATGCTGGTGAGGGTACTCATGAACTCGATAACAATTGGGGGAGACGAGATCCCTCAACATCTCTACTTTTCTTCCTTGTCGAGAGGATTTGCGAAGATGGTAGGTCCGAGTAGCAAAAATAATACCTTCAGTTCGATCTACGGTTGGTGTAACGCTATTTGAACCATCAAAGAGTGCGGAATAAAAACTGGGCTCTACAGGATCCCATTCCGAAGCGTGCAAGGACACTCACAAGATTCGAGATTCTTATTCCTGAATCTCAGTCCAACAACCAAACATCCCCCTCCATCTCAACAATCGGACGGCATGCAAGGTCTCGTCACTCGGTTCCTGAAGGTTTGAAAGAGGCTGAACGAACAAGCTCGACGCCGCGTTGTGGAGGGATTGATTCCCACACACCCACACACCCGAATGTGTATACAAATCATGCCAGTGAAAGATCCACCCAGTATTAGCTTTTATTTCCCTCCAGTGTGGGTGGAGGAGCTAACAACTGACTAAACAAACAATCATTGACACACGCACACATGTAGACCGAATCAGACAAGCAGACAAACTAGTGCGGTGGCATCTGTCGGAGTCCACGAGGCATAATGGACAAAAAGTCTAGGTTGTTCACGTATCACACATCATACACTCCAGCGAGAGTGAGAAGGATGTGGCTGGTGGATGAACCCACGATTCCCCTCGCGAAGATAGCATTCTACTGAGCCAGCGGATCTCTAATATTCTCTTGACCTCACGCGGCAAAATCATAGATCACATTCTCGCATTCATTTTCATGCTATAGATGCTTGCCAAGCCATTTTGTATTCTACTTATTATATTGCTTTGCTGGATGTTGAGAGCATTAAATGTAACTAGCACTCTCCATAATATTTATTGTAGTTTAGTAGATACTATAGTTACAATGTTTGGAAATTGTTTATCTTCTCTCTATATATAAGAACCAACCACATCAATACATAGATAAGAGGTTCTCTCTCCTTCTATACAATCTATTGTATGTATAGATAAGAGATTCTCTCTCCTTCTATACAATCTCTTGTATGTATATGTGTGTACATTACTTCCAACTATTCTCTCCTTCTATACAATCTCTTGTATGTATGTGTATGTACATTACTTCCAACTACTCTTGTGTCATTCCAAACATTTTCAATATGTTATCAATACAATTGCTCTTGTGTATTAGTCTTGGTTCTTAAAAACTTATGTGCACCTTATCCTTCACCTTTTCCTTGTTTTTTTTTCTACACTGTATTGTTCTATACTTTGGGCCTTACCTACTATGCTCCATGTTCTGACTATCTTCACAACTCTATCCTTAAGCTGTCATGCCTTGCCACTAACTATTGCACCTTGCTATTTGCTACTGCCATCCATCATTGCGACCGTAATCCATTACATATCCTTATTTTTATTATAAAAAAAAAAAAAAAAAAAAAAAAAAATCAAATTTTTAACTTTTTTTTATTTTAAGTTCAATTTTATCATTTTATTTGGCTTTACATTTCAAGGTGCATTTTATTCAACTTTTTCTACTTGATCTTAAATTTTCTTCATAAATTTATTTATAATGAGTGCTTCAACATCTTCAACTACTTCTACTATGGTTCCAACTATCATCATTGTATCCCAACAATTTTAAGCTCTTTTATTTCTACTATTGATTGTTGATAGAAAGAATTATCCATTATAGGCAAAAATACCAAAAACAAATTTATTTGTAAAATAACTCTTGAATGCAATTCTGTTTGAAGAATTTTCTATTGTAAGTACTTCTATTCTTCTTACTAGCCATTGAAAAGTACTTCTTTTCTTTCATCATCACCTTGTACCTATATTTTAACAAAAATATTTAAAAATGGAAGTTCCAACCAAGCTTTGGAAGAATCTTAAATCTAAGTTTGATCATCAAAAGACCATTTTCCTTCCGCATATATATCATGATTGGATACATTTTTTAAATTTAAATACTTTCAACAGAAAAATTTATTGTATTATCTCACAACTACAATTGTGTGGACAAAGCATCTTTGAAGAAGAAATGATTGAGAAAATTCTTTCTACATTTCTTCTCGCATTTGTTGAACTTGCACAATAATATAGGAATATGAAATTTTAGAGTCATTCTAATCTCATGTCTTATTTACTTCTTGTAGAAAAGCAAAATAAGCTACTCTTGCATAATGCAAAGGTTTATCTTTTTAGAACCATGGTTTTAGAATCTCATACAATTAATATTTCAAAGTCTAAAAAAATACTATATAAACATGGATAAGATACTTATAAGTACTAAAGTAGTCATAGTCATAACGATTTCTATTTACATTCTACTATTAATTATAATAGAAAATAAAAATTAAAGATACATTCTTGCCATAAATATATGATGATTGGATATTTAGCACATTTATCTATCATTCTAAATAGGCAAGAGGTTTTGATTCTTACACAAAACTAAAAAGTTGTTAAATTAAGGATAATTAAGGATAATTTAAGACTTGTAAATGTAGACTCTATAGAATTATGTTATAGATGTATACAAGATAAGATTATTGCTCAGTTTATAATTTGAAAACTTCCATGAGAATTACCATTAATGCTTGAAAGATAGCGTGGTTCTATTAATTCAATATCTAGACCATTTCATTATTTTTTGGTTCTTCTTGATATATTAAGTAAAAAATCACATATTTCATTATTATTAACTTAAAACATTATCTTTGTTAATCTTATATCTATGCTTATTCAATTTTGGGCATAATTTCTTGATTATCCTATTAAAACATTGCACATGGACAATGCAAAAGAAATTGTATCAAAGTCTTTTGAAAACTATTGTACTATAATAAGGATTGAGTTGACATATTGTATTTCATATAAACATGCTCAAAATGGGCTTGCAGAGTCATTTATAAACCATATACAATTCATTTCTTGACTACTTCTTTTTCAAGCAAATTTACTTACATCTATGTAGGATCATTTAGTTTTGTTTAATGCAGCATTAATATGCCTCCATCCTTCTTCTCTTGAAATTATTATACCATAAGAGCTAATTTCAAGT